TTTGAAACGGGAAATGCGAGATTCCTTGAGGATATTGAGTTTGGAGGGAAAGGAAACATAAGGAACGTTGTCTTTGAAGAAGAATCTGTTATTGACAGCAATCAGACCAAGGCAACAATGAGATTCTTCCTCAAGCACCACCTATAGAACAAACTCAACAACCTCAAGAGGTGCTATTAAGGAGATCCACTAGGGAGAGAAGAAATGCAATTTCAGATGATTATATCGTCTTTCTTCAAGAACATGAGGATGGCGTTGGTTTAACGGAGGATGACCCGATCAACTTCCATTAGGCCATGCGCAGTTCTAACTCTCAGAAGTGGATTGATGCCATGAAAGATGAGATAAAGTCTATGAAAGATAATGATGTTTGGGATCTCGTCGAGTTGCCTAAAGGTATGAAGCCCATTGGTTGTAAGTGGATATTTAAAACCAAGAGGGATTCAAGAGGCAGTGTCGAGAGATATAAAACTTGACTAGTCGCTAAAGGCTTTACTCAAAAGGAAAGCATAGACTACAAAGAGACTTTCTCTTCGGTATCTTCGAAAGACTCTTTTAGAACAATAATGGCACTAGTGGCTCATTTTGATCTAGAGCTACATCAGATGGATGTCAAGACTGCGTTTCTCAATGGAGACATTGATGAGACGATTTACATGGTATAACTAGAAAGCTTTGTATCAGGAGATCCAAAGTCTATGGTTTGTAAGTTGAAGAAATCCATCTACGGTCTCAAACAAGCTTCCCGTCAATGGTATCACAAGTTCCATCAAATCATTACCTCGTATGATTTTGAGGCAAATGTTGTTGATGACCGTGTATATCATAAGTTCATTGGGAGTAAATATATCTTCTTGGTATTATATGTTGATGATATTCTACTCGCTAGCAGCGATATAGGCTTATTGCATGAAACCAAGAAATTTCTGATGAAGAAATTCGAGATGAAAGATCTTAGGGATGCCTCTTTTGTATTAGGTATTCAGATACTGAGAGATCGTTCTCGAGGTATCCTTGGACTTTCACAAAAGAGCTATATCGATAAGGTTTTGAGTAGATTTGGCATGAAATATAGTAGACCAGGAGACACGCCCATCTCTAAAGGAGACAAGTTTAGTCTCAAACAGTGCCCCAATAATGATCTTGAAAGAGAAGAGATGCAGAAGATTCCCTATGCATCAGTGGTAGGGAGTCTAATGTACGCTCTAATTTGTACTCGTCCCGACATAGCATTTATAGTGGGAGTTTTGGGTAGATACTTGAGTGATCCTGGCATGCAACATTGGAAAGCAGCCAAACGCGTGATGCATTATTTGAGGAGAACAAAAGACTACATGCTCACTTATCGGAGATCGGATAGTTTAGAGATCATCGAGTTCTCTGACTCCGATTTTGCGGGATGCCAAGATAGCAGACGCTCCACATCAGGCTACGTCTTTATGTTGGCTGGAGGAGCTATCTCATGGAAGTCTGCTAAACAGACTCTTATAGCTTCTTCAACCATGGCTGCGGAGTTCATTGCTTGTTATGAGGCATCCAACCATGGAATATGGTTACGAAACTTTGTCACTGGACTACAAGTGGTAGTTGGCATTGACAGGCCATTAAAGATTTATTGTGACAATAACTCAGCGGTGCTTTACTCCAACAACAATAGGAGTTCGACAAAGTCGAAATTCATTGATATCAAGTTTCTAGTTGTTAAGGAGAGAGTTCAAGATAAACAGATTTCCATAGAACATATAGGAACAAATTCCATGCTAGCGAACCCACTAACCAAGGGTTTAACGCCGAAGGTCTTTCATGAGCACACTGCTCACATGGGCGTTATTTTCGAGGATATTCTAGTCTAGTGGGAGTCAATTTTTTGTTCTATATGTTTGCTTTAGACATTAAATTATTTAACCTTCTGCAGAATAAAGTTGATGGTCTATGATTCTATTTCTGAGTTTGCTTGTGTTTTCATTGTGCAATGTTTGCATTGCATTAAGGACTTTGGAATGATCTCACTAAAGACTAAAGAATGACCAGTTGGAAATAGGCATGTTTGAGATCACATTTCATGTAAATTTCCATGCTACTCATCTATATTTGATCTATGTCATTAAGTGTATTAATATGTTGATCATCGTGGTTTAATCACTAATGTATTGTGATGAAAGTTGCGGTGGTTCCATTATTAGTATATGAGATGGACAAGATTGTATTAGGAGCAGTCTAATGATAAATAGCATACATATGCGCGCCTAAGGAGTTTTGTAATATAATTATTTAAGGAATAATATGTAGCCAAGTGGGAGATTGTTAGAAAAACACGATTTTCCTAAATTAATATTGGCAACATATTAATACAATTATATTAGCTATTTAATATAATGGGCAAAAATCAAGTGGTCTATTTTTTGTATGCCCATAGACTACTCAAATTAATATGGACTAAATGAGTAGATACCGGCTAATATTACTCTAATTAAGGGATAATGGGAACCTTAATTAAGTAGTATATAAATGTTATTTTGGTTATGGTCCCCAATATACCAAATCATACACTCTTTTCCCTTCTCCCCATCAAGAAGAGAAATCACGGTCCCATTGAGGAATAAGGAGATTTGGTTGAGGAAGATCACAAAAACCACCCTCTTCATTTGCATTCATCGGTACATAGTCGATTGTCGCAGTAATTCCGCAACAGTAGGCAATCGTTTACAATGGATACAGGTATATTATCTAAATTTGTGAATCCTAGTAATTTAGCATGATGTTGATCCTAGGATTTAATTTATATTTGGATCTAATTTGATTTTCTAACAGGCATCTCTTGGCACTCTCCGTGCATGGAGGGCTTGGCTCTCCATGCTCTCCATACTCTCCTTGCACGGAGGAGGCTTCTCCGTGCAGGGAGGTTTTTGCCTCCATGCACGGAGAGCTTTAGTACTGTATTCTTTTTATTTTTTCTGTTCAATGCTGTTTTGAATCTTTGAGGTTTAACTTTTAATTGAAGTTATATTGATGAAGTCAGAAGAATCACAATCTTATTCCAGCATATGCTCCTCTAAATGCTGTACTTTCTCTGATGTCAACTTCTCTATCTTTTCTTATTTGTTGCTCTTGGCTTTATGTCTTAATTACATAACCATTATCCTGTTGTTTTTCAGGGAATCAAATTCTTTGAACCAAAGGTTGTAAATTGATTGTCTTGCAAAAATCTGAGGAGTTAGATTTTTTTCTTTATTAAGGAGCTCAAATCTCCAACTTACCAAACTGGAAGTATGTCAGTTGCAATTAACTTTGGTCCTTTGATTGATTGGTGAAAGCAGATTAAAAGTGATCCGCCTGAAATGGTGGAGTAAATTGGGATGAAAAATCTTATAAATGCCGTAAAGGAAAGTGTTGGACTCCATAGTGGAAAATTAATTTTCGGATTCGAAGGTATGCTCTTTTCAAGCAAAGTTGATAAATCATTGTATATATCACCATTAATATAATAGGTTTAAACGAAACCAATTCCATTAATTTCAAAGTTTGGAACTTCCAATCCTGAACCAATTCATTCCCTCAATCAATCAAATATTTCCACTCCTCGTAACATT